TTTACCCTTCTCTAATTCTAGTAGTTTCAGAAAATATCATGTAAATTAATGAAGATTAAAAAAACTAATAGTTTCAAGTTTGTTTTTCAGATATAATTAGCGGCGTGGCTGTAGCCGCGTCGCGGGTAGCTGAATGCTGCTCATGAATATGAGCCTCTAGCATGGCTTGAAACTAGTCGAGTTCCTCGTCAAACATTTACGTGAGTAAGCCGATGGCTTAATAATTATTATTTATTTTTTTTATTTATTTAAAATGCTTCATGCACAAAATGTACAAAAAGGTGGACTTAATGCCGCAGGCATTTTCTACCAGTCTGACCTTTGGGTGATGCAGAGAAGAGTAAATGGTAGGTGCAAGAGGCAAGCAGTGATTTTATTTAACAATGAAAGATAAACTAATATATTTCGGAGATATACATACATAAATAAATTTAATTATAATGTATAGGTATACATTATAAATAAGTATAGGTACACATGAGTACAATATGCCTACATACATACATATATACATAATATATTATATTTTTTGTTTTAAATACGTTTGTCAAGAACAGGGTGGAATTGCCAGCCGAGCTAATTTGTCCAAGACTTGTCGAATTGTAATTAGTGTTTAACTAAATATTGACAGATAAAAGATATGTCAGATAAATTAACCGGTATATTTTAAGTCGTCTGCAATCAGTCAAATTCTAAAATTAATCATCTTCGATCTCAATAAATATATTTTGAAGAATAATGACGAGTACATGCAATTAATATTTTTCAATAATCTGGTTTCTAAGTAGGGTAAACCACCCAATTATTGGCACTTTAAGCAGCTTCTTCACAAAACCGGTAAAATTTTCATATAAAAATATGTTTTAACAAAGACAAAAGCATTCATATTGGTCTTCTAATCTCTGCAGAATATTATAAAGTACTTGTCATTAATAAATTATATCGTTTTCTTTAATATAATGTACTTTTAAAAAAAATGCCTCAAACACCAGTTGCTGGCATAGCCAAACCTTTTATTGGCAGTGATTATTACCTATTATTGTCACTGTTCTCCCAAAACTGAAAAATAGCTGCTAGGTCTTATGTAGGGGTTTTAAAACGTATTTTACATCGTCTATGTACCTATTTTAAGATAATTCATAATAGAAATAAACAAAATAAAATCCTTTGTTAAGAAAAGTAACATTTATTTGTATAGGAACATACCATATCAATTGAAACGCTTATAGTTAAATCAACTTTACATAAAGTATTAAAACAAAACCAAAAAAACCTTCTACCTAGGCTTGAACAAAAAATAGAACAATTTTAGCTTAAGACTATGTAACTTCCTTAATTATATTTAATTAAATCACAGCTCTAATTGGTTGAGATCATACAAGTAAGTAATTCTTAAGTAACGTTAATCATCTGAATCAGTCTCAGTCAACATTTTTTCTATCTCAGCAGCACTGTAATTTTTGCTAGTACTTGCTTTTTGGTTTTCTTTGTTAAAATTTTTAGGTAAAGCTTCCAATTTGTCATTGTCAAGTTTATAGAAATCTTCCGAAAACAAAATTTTGGACACATTGTCTTTGGCTTTAGTTTGTTTTTTGTTTTTCTTTACCATTTTCTTCTCTTTTTCCAATTTCTTTTGTTCTCTTTCTTCTTTTCTCTTTTTAACACCTTCTGCTTTCTCTTCTTTAATTTTAATTTTTTCATTTTCCTGAGCTTTCCATTCGGCAGATGTTAGTACAAAAGGCGTCTTCTTGGTATTTTTTATCCCTTTTCTTTGTGGCGTTTTAGGAAGTACCAAAATATCTTGTAATTTTACTATAGTATTGTCTTCCTTAACCAGTGGTGCTTTCAGTTGCATAAAATTATTTTGATCTGCACTTATTTTGACATCTCCAGTTACTCTGATAGACGGTTTTTGGGGAGTTGAATATATTGATGATTGCTGCTGACTGCTAACGGATGCTTGGTAGATAGATGTTTGTTGAACAAATGTTTGCTGTGTGGATGGTTGTTTGTTGTTTGGTACGTAAGTGAGTGATGGCTGTAAGATCGAAGCATGCTGTAAGGAAGTAGAGGCTTTTTGAGAGGATACTTGCTCTATGGATTCTGGTTGATTGAATGCTTGTTGAGTGGGTGAAAGATGATTGTGTGATTGTTGGCTAACTGTTTCTGGAATACGTTCTTGAAGGGTTGATATATCTTGTATAAAATAATTTAATTCAGAGCATTGGACTATTTCCTCAACAACAACATCTTGAGAAACAAAATCGAAACTTTGCTCAGCAACATTTTTATTTGGAGAGTTATTGATAATTATCTCCATATTTTCAACATCAAAATTCCCTATATTGTCATTCTGACGCTCTGTGTCTAATTTTGAGCTATTATGCAAATCATTTTGAAACGTGGTAAAGAAATTCCAGATTTTCAATAAACATTCACTTGACTCCTCGGGCCTCAATTCTCTTTTATCAATTTTATGTATTGTACTTTCTCCCAACAACTTCGTAAAGTCATCTTTCGTGAGCACCCGATTGTCTGTTACATGCTTGGGTTGCGCTATGGTAATGTTATTTTTATTTGAAGTTCCTAGGCACTTGGAATAGTCCACTGCATCTTCATTAAAAGGACAAAGTCCAGTTGCTCTAAAGCCATTTATAATTGTTGACGGGTTAAGACTTTTTTCTATAGTATCTTTAAGTAATGGCACAAATTGAGTTTTCGTTAACGCTTGAGATGGATTATTTCTTCGCCATTCTAGGACAGTTTTCTGCCATTGTGTTTTTAATGGTTTAAATGCGGCGACGTCTGCAGGTTGAAGGAGTCTAGTGCAGTTAGGATATAACGCTATGAGAATTATACCTAAATTAGTACATAATTCACTGGTAGCATACGTCAAGTGCGATTTGTGGCCATCTACAAAAAGAACTACAGGAAATTGTGTGCCAGTTTTTATGAGGTGAGGATGTAAAACGTTTTTGATATACTCAAAAAATACATCGGAATTCATCCATCCGTTGTCACTTAAGCCCACGCCCCAATCTTCAGGAATCTTAGAAGTTATCTCGCCAGGTAATCTTTTATATGGAAAAATTACCATTGGCGGAGTAACTTGACCATCTGCACCAAAAGTAAACATGACGGTTAGTGAAGTTTTAGCTTGGGCGTGGTCAATTTCGTATACGTTTTTTTCTCCCTTAGAGCTTAAAACAATACCTGTTTTTGGACATAGAACAAAATTTGTTTCATCGCCATTGAATACTCTTGATGGATCTGATAAGATGTCATAGTAGCTATTTTCAGTCATGTAAATCCTTATTTGTTCAAACCAGCCTCTTACATCAGATGCAGAGACCGTGGAGCTGGCAGCTGTTACGGCTTCTGGTGTTCGAAATGTAACTGTTGGATGTCTAGCTAAAAACAATTTAAACCACTTGTCACCATTCCTAAAACTACTGGCTCTCCCCGATTTATTAATAAAGTCTGAAACACTCTTTATCAAATCTTCTTTCCTCTTCGGAAACCCTTTTTTGCTACTGATTTTTATCCAGTCAACAAAAAGCTGTTCTTCTTCGTCAGTTAAAATTGTGGGAGGACCGGGCTTAGAGCGATGATCAGGATTTTTCAGTCTGAATTGTACAGTAGACCGTGGTACGCTGAAGGTTTTTGCAGCAAGTTTTTTGCTCATGCCTTTTGATATTTCGTGGAGAGCTTTTTGTAGGTTCTCTTCTGTATAAATTTTCCGTTTCAAACATTTTTTACTATTTTTTTCTCTAGACTTCTTCTGACTAGGCTTCATTTTGAAAGTGGCTGAAAAGACAATATTTTATTTTATTGGCACGTTTTTACCCAATGTTTGGCACCCGTGCCAATAAATGGATTTTATATAATTGGCAGGGGGGCAACTTTTGGATTGGTGTATCCAAAACGTTAGAAAATATTTTTAATTTAATTTAAACTCAATTTTGAGAAAAACAAGGTATAATTTTTAATAAACTCAAATTATTTAAAATGCCCTTTTATTGGCATGTATGCCAATAAAATGGATAAACCAATATTACGCATACCAAATGTTGTCACCCCACAAATAACTAAAAGTTGGCGGTTAAATGATAAAATAATGTTTTAAAAAGGCAGTTAATATATTCAATAATAAGACAAAATGATTATGTATAAGAAAAACAAAATAGATTTTCAAGTTTTAAAAGATTATGATAGCTCTTACCTTAGTAAAAAACGAATATTTTGATTGTTTTTGTCGCACAGGTCGCGGCTTGTCAAACAGATGGTAAATGCGCCGCCATGTTTGAAAAAAAATAAAACGTGTGTTGCCAGTTGAGTAATAAATGATACTACTGTTTAATTTCTACTAAAAAATTTTAGTCTGGCTACAAATAGATCTTAATTTTCTTAAAAAACTAGAGCATGCCAATAAATTGGTGGAGTGCCAATGATTGGGTGGTTTACCCTACCTGCTGTACACATTTTTTGCTTAATTGCTTAGGTATAGTAATCAATAGGAGGGATAAGTAGGTTTTTTAATATCTGTTTTAGAAACAACGTACAATAAGAATTAGAGAGCCTTTTTTACTAAGCTAAGAAACAGCTCTTTATAAAATAGTAGAAATTATTTCTATGATTTTTATAATAGGTAATCTTAATCAAAATTAATAAAAGTAAAGATATAAAACTTAACATCAAAACTTTTACCCCTGAAGGGGTAGACAAAGGTGCATACTGCATATTATAGAGGTAGACACCTACTCACTTTAATAATTAAAGATATCTTTTACCATTAACTATGATTGGTTAAAAATGAGTCAGCCAAATATGAGATACATATTTGATACAATTTTCGGGACTCGAATTGAAAGCAAAACCACATAAAATACTTCGAACGATTTGAGCTATTTTTTAATTAAAATTAAGCCATTTTTTATGCAAAACCAGTGATTAGTTCAGATGGTAGCAGCCTTCACGTCATGGGTCATCGTGTTTGCTATCTAGAACACCTTGTCAAGGTGATGTTTTTTGCTTCCTATTTCGTGGACTGTTTCATTTTGTTGAGAGGACGTAAGTATAACTGCTGAGCAGAAGACCTGGGGATTAATTCGTAGTTGGGAATAATTGACTTTGTCAGAAGCTGCTGCATGCAGGTTACTTCCAGCCAGCCTATCTGGAAGACATTGAGGAAGGCTTGTCTTCAGCAGTGGACGTCTTGTTGCTGATGTTATGGTGATGAGATTAAGTACTGTTCAGTTACTTTAAAATTGTTAATGTTATTTAGAATGAAGTGTGTGTCAGGTATATGTGAATTTTCATGTATATGTGAACTTATATGTTTGTAAAACCTATGACACAGGAGGAAATCAAGGCGTTGTTTTTTAAAAAAAGGTAATTACACAAGCTAAGACCTAACATTTTGCTATTACTTATTTATCAATTTATGCAAGGACCTTATTCAGTTATGGAACTCTTTAGGCTGATGATGATGATGACATTCTAAACCCTAGGCAGAAACGGTTTTTACACAATACTCATAACTTTAAAAATACTTCATTTATCAAGACGTATAGTCTGTCATAGGTACATACATACATACATAACTTCATGCCTGTCTGTCAATTGGGTACCTAGTTTCCTAGGTTTAAAATAAATTGTTTCAACTTTTCAATGCAATAAATAATCATTCTCTCATTCATTCATTGATTTGACAATTTACCTACTTTTGGATTCTTTCTCGCTAATTTTAAGCAAATAAGTTCCTATGCTATTTGACGCAGAAATATGATGACGTCATAAGTTGCGATCTAATCTAAAATCTGCGTACATATATATATATATATATTTTTGTATTTTTTTTGTACATAAATGTGTATTTACATAAAAAATTACATAAAAACATAAAAAATATGTAGAAATTTGTACATAAATATAAACATACCTCTAGAAAACTATCGTTTTTTGACATTTCAATAAATGTATTGAATTTGACTACCTGTCTACTACCGTATTATATTTATTAAAATTGTATCAATCTATAATATTATAAAGCTGAAGAGTTTGTTTTTTTGTTTGTTTGTTTGAACGCGCTAATCTCCGAAACTACTGGTCCGATTTGTAGATTTCTTTCTGTGTTGAATAGGTCATTTATCGAGCAAGGCTATATGCTATAAAATATCACGCTACGATTAATAGGCGCCGCGCAGTGCGAGTGAAACCGCGCGGAAGTAGCTAGTACCTAATAAAATAAAAGGGCACGTCCATAAGATCCTAACGTCATTAATTATGGGAGCTGTAACTCGACACACTCTATTGACGACTGCGCATTTTATTTGAACTTTTCAAACATGGCCGGCTTAGGGAAAAGTAAAAAATAATTTGAAAATAAACAAATAAAAACTTTAATCACCACAATCTGCTTACAAAGTTAATTAGCTTCAAGTGTTTTAATTATTTTTGTAAGTTGTTTTGAATAAACACTTCTTTTTATGATAATTAGGCAGACGGGCGAATGGTGACGTACAGAGGTGTCGCGGAGAACCTAACGGGTAACCGGGGCTCTGGCTCGACGTGCAGGAGAAGAAACGGGGTGGTTTTTAGTCAGTAAGAGTCTGACACTCCTTCCCGCCTCACCCAGGCGGGAGCAGTCATACGATGATTTCCCCCCTTAAAAAAAATACTTTACAGAGGTATATGTCTAGCAATTTTTCGTTTTTTAATAATTTTTAGTTTTCAAAAATTGAACAAAATTTATTACAGAAAAGTGGATTAACATTTGGGAATTGTTTATGTAATTTGATATAAATGGATTATGTACAGTTGTAATTGGACTTCAGGTTCGCTCGCTATTTATAATTAAGATTGTTGTGTACGATTTCAATCTGTCGTCTGTATCTGTACTTATCTATATATATAAAAACGAATTTCCTTTCGTTAGTCTCGCTAAAACTCGAGAACGGCTGAACCGATTTGGCTAATTATGGTCTTGAAATATTCGTGGAAGTCCAGGGAGGTTTAAAAGGTAACAAAAAAATATTCAGGCGGTACGAAGTTTGCCGGGTCAGCTAGTGTAAAATAAAGAAATAAATGGACGTAAACGGGTTGATAAAGACGATTTACTTATAAGCTCCAAAATGCAATTATTTAATATCATTTTCTATCCATATACATTTTCTATGACTGCTTCGTTGGCCGAGTGGTCGCAAGTGCGACTGCCGGGCAAGGGGTCTTGGGTTCGATTCCCGGGTCGGGCAAAGTATTACTGGGTTCGTAAAAACCTCAGCTGTAGCTCGGAGTCTGGAAATGTGCCCGGTATATGGCAATAGGCCCCCTATTACATGGGACTCATAACACAAATAGTGAAAAGTGGGTGTTACATTGCACAGTAGCATAATGTGCACCTCTGCCTACCCCTTCAGGGATAAAAGGCGTGATGTTATATTATGTTATGTTATTAATCAAAAAAGTTTACAAATACTTTGCCTTTTCTGAGGACCAAACCCAAGACCACATAACCAACAGTGCTCCTAGCAACTACTTAACAAACAAGCAATAGGATAGGACCTTTAAATAATATTCGAATTTGTCCGTTTTTTACACGCCAATGTCAGATAGAAATCAATTTATAATAATTTTCGTTGTAAAGAACCGAGGTGTCGGCGATAATTCGGCGTCTCGGTATATTATAGAAAAAACTATCAAGGTTGCGAATCATTCGTATCAATAAGGTAGAACTTGTAGTTACTTAGGTATATAGGTACATTTATTTAAAACTAAAAAAAGAAATTATTTACAAATTCAGAAGAACTTAATCTATATCTATACATATACTAAAATTGTAAAAAAATAATACTTCGGGTGTGATCAGCGATCGATATTGAAGCCGAAAATATGGTTTTTAAAATTATTGTCTATTTGTCTGTATGTATCTCCGGGGTGATTTCAAAAAGTTCTGCATGGATTTACTTAAAATTTTGTATGATTATTACTAACAGGTCGAGTCAACATATAAGCATACATATTATCACCTACGAGGTAAGCGCAGTAAATCAGAATTCCACGCGAACGAAGTCGCAGGCACAGCTAGTAATTAATAGAACAAAAATCACAATATTCCATTCTTTACCAAAAGTAGTAGCTAATTAGCTACTGTACCTTTTTTTGAAAAGCTCTACTAGTTTTGAGGCACAGAGGGGCTCTTTCTCATAAGCAGGGTCGTCAGTAGGCTGAGCGATATCGCCGCGACCGCGTAATTAACCCGCGATTTTTAGTTAGTTGTCCCTATTAGATATGCAAGGTGTCGCGGTGGCCCGTAGGTTTAAGACGCCCACTTCTCATGCATGAGGGTGCGGGTTCAAAACCCACCAACGGCAAGTACCAATGCGGCTTTTTCCGAGTTATATGTACTTTCTAAGATTATTCAGACACCACTGACAAACGGTGAAAGAAAACATCGCGAGGAAACCTAGGCTTATAATTTCTAATTATTAGTTTGAAATCACCAATCCGCATTGGGCAAGCGTGGTGATTAATGCTCAAACCTTCTTCGCGTTTGATCAGCAGTAGGCATTTATAGGTTGTTGATGATGATGATGATGATGATGATGATAATGCAAGACATATCATGAAACTTCTGTGTGATCATAATATTAGAACACAAGTTTAGATAAAAATCTTCAGTCTATCTAGACAATTTGAAACGGAAATTAAAACCTAGATCCATTAATCTAGAACCTAGACATAGGTCAAATTTAGCAAAAATTGTGGTACTATTTTTAGATTTTGATCAACACTTAATACAATACATCAACATATCATCGTCAGTCGTAATCAATATTCGATAAAAATCCAAAAAGATTCTTAGGAATGAAATCGATATAAAACGATACGTTTTTTACCAGTTTTTTAACTATCACTATCTATATAAATAAAAATTAATTTCCGTTCGTCAGTCTCGCTAAACCTCGAGAACGGCTGAACCGATTTGGCTAATTTTGGTCGTGAAATGATCATAGAAGTCCCGGGAAGGTTTAATCAGTGAGAAAAAAATATTTCTATGTAGAAGAAGCCCACAATCTAGCAGTGAACCACCCCAGGCAGCTGATATGATAATTGTATAAACCAAACATAACATAACATAACATCACGCCTTTTATCCCCGAAGAGATAGGCCGAGGTGCACACAGAAGTAACACCCACTTTTCACTATTTATGTTATGAGTCCCATATAATAGGGGGTGCCTATTGCCATATACCGGGCACAATTCCAGACACCGTGCTACTACTGAGATTATTTTTAAAAAGCCAGTAATACTTTGCCCGGCAGTCGCACTTGCGACCACTCGGCCAACGAGGCAGTCTGTATATACCAAACTGTCATAACATCGAGTATACATATGCGTATTCCGACCTTCTCTTAATAGAGTTTAGATGCAAACGAGTTCTAGGTTACCTATGGTTAAGTTTAGATAGGATGGGGGAAGGCCTATGTTCAGCTGTGCTATTGTACCCATATGATGAAGTATAGATACTTAGATACCGGCTCTAAGAAGGAGTTGTTAATAATCTTCTGATTCACTCCGTTGCGTGAACCAAGACAGTTACTCATGTCCCTGATGTCGGAATACTGAAACGTTACTCGATTTTAAGTCGTGCTCAAATATCGTGCCATCTCTGTCATTTCACAAAGAATTTGTAGAGATAGAACTATACTTAAGCACGACTTAAAATTGAGTAGCGTTTCAGTATTCCGACATGAGACTCGCCGGACTTCAGTGTTCCGGTGTTTTCATGGTTGTATCTACTGTAGATTCTGGCTTACAGGAGTTGCAGCGGTTAAGGGAGGACGTGGTGAGCTTGTCCAAAAAAAAATTAATAAACTAAAGGCACCAATTCATATTACACTTATATATTTCCAAGCAGAGGTACATAACATAGTACATAACTATGTTAGTCGTTATATAATGAATGTATATATTATACGATGATGTCATAAAATGGATCCTGAATTATGACTCTTATGATTTAAATGCTGTGGAGTTTAAAACGTATGGTAATGTTTCGTAGGTATACTATTAAAGTGGAGTGCCTGTTACAC